TTTTAATAATTGTTTCTTTAAATTCTCACAAGGTGGTCATACTACTTGGTGATTGTATCACTAGTAAAATATATTGAGTATGCATGTATAGGTAAATAGATTTATGCGGTGTGAGTATGAAATAATAAGGATGCTTGCATCAGTTCTCTCAGAAAAATGCCAATAGTGTTATCAACTATATTTCAGACTATGTGTGTGTTGTACTTAGCAGTTGAAAGGAGAAAATTAGAATCAGGACATAGAATTTATAATATTATTTTATGATGGTCACCCAGAGTTCAACACGAGGAAGTGCAGGAAATCTATCCACAACACTAAAGACCCACAATATTCAGCCAAGGGCCTGAATCCCACAGAAGTGTCCTGAATGGGTCCAGATGAAAACCTAGAGCCCATGACAGTGCCTCTCACAAGTCCAACTGGTGGTCTAGAGCTCATGAGAAGGACTCACGCCAGTATGTTTTATGGATCTGTGCTGGGAAGGCCCAAAGATCAGTGATAGAAGCTAGAAAGTCTATGCCAGTGGGGTGAAGGAGCTGTGCTGGTAGGTTGAGAGTTCTACGCTAGAGCCGAGAAGTCATGCTTAATAAGAACCAGGGCTGCCCTGAAAAGTACGACAGCCATCCTCAGCGACATGGAGGTCCTGAGCTCCTCTGATGATAAGAACAATAAAGTACATTCCAGAAAGCCAGCATGACAGTTTTTCTCCTGGATATTAAATGGCACACGTCTTCCCCTCTGGAGCCAGGAAGTAACACTCCATGTAAATACCAGAGCTCCTCCAAAGTGAACCATAGCTACTCTCACCAACAAGGTTCCTGAGCTCCTCTGATGACAAGGTAGAACTGATACTGGGGAAGCCAGTCATGACAAGCTCCTCCGGGAGAACCAAGAGCTCAAACAGAAACACTTAGAGAAACCCACGGTGCCTCACTCTTCTTCTCCAAGTCTCTATTTATGCTGATAGGAATATATCTCTTTGGGGAAGTGAACATATTCCAAATAAAATACTTGAAAAGAGTTCAGTTTCTCTTTGCAGAGATCTCTTGTATAACTGCATTTGACACATGAGACTTTTAGCTTAGGATTTTAAGGTTATCACAAGTTGGAGGGTGATGAATACAGTATAACACTGATTTTAGGAGCTGGCTTCGGAATTGTGCTCCCTTGTATTGGACCAAGGGCACTTATCATTGGCAAGTCCAACCTAAATTCAGGATTCAAGATTGCTTGGCTGAGAACTGGTTTTGTTTTTTTTTTTTTTCCATTTCTGGTTTCCAAAAATGATAATTTGTGATTCAATTTAATTTTAAGCTTTGCTGCCTTAGGCTTGTAATTATAACCATAAACCAATATTTGATTATGATAGGCAGGTTACTGTAGTTACTATAATACAACAAAGCGGAAGATATATAAATAGTTTTAAAAGTCCAAGGGTACAATGCATACTTTTAAATCCTTAGTAAATGTCATAAAATATAAATATTAAACTCAGGTCTCTAAAGATCTGAACAATGTGGGTTCATGATATTTTCTCTATCATAAAAAAACTAAGAGTTTCTCTTTCCGACCTCTCCCCCCACACAGCATTAAACTGGATGCTGATTTTCATTCTACACTGTGTTAGGTAAAAAATGAAGGAATGGCTCCCTGCTATAATTACAGAGTTATGCACAATGCAGTAAATGCTTTGCAAAACCAAATTCTTTTTCAGCCTACAGTGGGACATTGATCATACCAATTTTTGTCCATTTCCTATATAACTCTTTTATACCTCACATTTTATTTTATTTTGCTGAGTCATCTTTGCAAATCCAGAACAAAATCAAGTTTCATTATAAAAGCACCTTAAGGACAAAGAGAAAAGGCAAGTCAATTGTACCTGGTCAAATTGAGTAATTGGTTTTATTTTTATTTTATGCTTAGAGCAAGAGAATTAATCTAAGATACACGATTTCTTAGGTTGCATACTACATTTCTACACATTACATCTAGTGAGGTAGTTGTGTTGCTTGGCCTTCCATTGCTGGTTCTAAGTATCTAACCCCCACAATTTAAAGGAGAGGAGTTTATTTTAGTTTATAGTTTCACAGGTTTTAGTCAGCTAGCTGGACTGCAGAGACCTTATGGCAGGATAGTGGAGGGAAGCTGAGAAGTAGAGTGGGCTGGAAAGAGAGAAAGGAGCCAGGGACCAGACACGGATCCCAAGGTCTCACCCCTGTCTCACTTCCTCCAACTTGAGGCCCCACCTCCTAACAGGCTGGTCAGCTATGAATTCATTAACAGGTGAAGGCACTGATGAGAATAGTGTCCTCAGAATGTAATCACTTCCCCAAGAATTTCTTAATCCAGTTAGATTGAAAATTAGATCAACCAGCGCAAACCTACCTTTTGTCAACTTGTCATCCAAACACATCACTTTAAACCATTCTCAGTGTCTGAGTAAATGTAATTTCACCTCACATGATGTATCTATTCTGTAAACAATTTAAAATGCACTAATTCCTTCCCCAAAGTCTCAACAGCTACAGCATTGCTCAGAAGTCCAAACCCAAGCCTTCTCTGAGAATCAAGGCAACTGTTTTAGCTGTGAACATCTGTAAAGATAAACAAACATACCAAGCTGTAGGCTCACAGTGGCAGAATGAGCATTCCTCAGTGAAAATTGAAGAGTAAGAGATAAAAAAAGAATTAATCCAAAACAAGACTGAGAAACACCAGGGAAAACAGTAAGTCTTACAGCTCCATAACTAGCATCCAGTGAGTTCCAGAGGGCTTGGGTGGCTCCACCCCTAGAGCTTTGCTAATTACAGCTGACATGGCCTCTTTCTTGGGATGGGTTAGTTCATTGCTTGTGGCTTACCTTAGCAGATATTGTACACGACCTTTGGAGGACACTGAAATAATCAGTAAAGGGCTACTATTATTGTGTCTGGCAGGGGAAGTCTTTGATGGAAATACCATCTCTATTTGGGCCCCTGCCGTCTCTTTAAGAGTAAAGAAGTGGGGCTCTTAGCAGAAATGGGGGCGTCAAGTCTAGTATAATGGGAAGAAAAGTTTATTTTACAGTGTGGCAAATATAGAGAAACTATATTAGCAGCTAAGTGATGCTACAAGGCAGGGAGCACCCTGCTTGGCGTGCCTGGTGAGCATGAAATGTAGTTCATACTTACAGGGGTGTGCTGGTTTCTAAAAATAACCATTTCACTGATAGGCAGTTTAGGCCAATCAAGGTCTTTTCTGGGAAAGGGACAAGGTCAGCATAAGTAAACGTTAGTGACACTTTCATAAGGATATAGTAGGGTAGTTTTTCTCAAGTATGTGTGATGATCTTATAATCATTAGTTACAGATAAGCATTACAATTGTCAGACAGAGATAAATATGTGATGATTTTATAATGTTAGTCGTCAAATTTTGACCTGTGTTTTTTCTATGTCCTTCTACCCCAACATTGTGGGTCCATGTCTTGTGAAATTTCTACTCCCCAGTGATAGGGAATTCCTTATACCTCCTAAATGATATCCAAACCATGTAAGACTAGAGAGGGTCCCAACAATTAGTATTTGAAATACTACTAAAAACCAAATTTCTTAGTTTTAGACAGTATAGGATACCAGCACTCCTTCCTAGACCCAGATAATTATCTTATTTACTTGCTTGCCTTTCTCTCTGAAGATCACTGTTTTAGATAATGTCTCCTAAATGGTTGTCCAGAAGCTACTGTCATCAAAATGATCAGAAATAATTATTTACAATGTAGATTATCGAGATCTAATTTGGATGAATTTTATCAAGCCTTTGAAAATGCATTCCAGTAATCTGTATTGAAAACTAATACATAATGTATGTCATTTGACACTTCCGAAACTTTTATATTATTAACTAATTTAAACCTTAGAACACTATAGGATACATATCAATATTATGACCATTTTTCAAATTGATTAATTGACACATAGGTTAAGCAATTTGTGCAAGGCTATTATACTAATAACTACATGTAGGCAAATTTTGTGTCAGTTTTTCTGGGTCATGGATTAAATATCAGATTAAATGGTATTTCCATATATGTTTATATAGGTGTTTCTGGTGCAAATTAGTGTCTAATTTGTTTGACATAGTAGATTGGCTTCTGCATTGTGTGTGGGCATCGTCATATCCTTTGGTGGTCTAAATGGAGCAAAATTCAGAAAAAGAATTAACCTTTTTTTTCTTGCTTTGTTGCTTGCTCTGGAAACTATTGCTATGTCATCTTTTCTGTCCTTGGACTGAGATTAATACCAACAGCTCTCCTGTTCTCCAGGTACAGACTTGGATTACATTATACCATTTATTTTCCTGGGTCTACAGTTTGCAAATCGCTGGTAGGTCATGGGATTTCTCAGCTTCCATGATCCTTATGAGCCAATTCCTTATTTTTTTTTAAATTTTATTTAAAAGGAAAAAGAGAAAAAACCAAAACAAAACAAAATGGTGTAAGGGTACAAGTAATACAGAACTACCAAAAAAAAAAAAAAAAAAAAAAAAAAAAAAAAAAAAACAGTAAGAAATCACCAGTTAATAGATTACATATTATCATCTTAGAGATAGTTGCTCAAGAGCCAATTCTTTATAATAAATCTCTCTTGTGTGTGTGTATGTGTGTGTGTTTTGGTTCTGTTTCTTTGAAGAACTCTAATGCACTGGGAGAACTGATATTCAAGACACTAGTAACTGTGATACAGTACTTCCTAGATGATTCTTAGGTACATATTATGTTTAAAACCCCTGTCTTGCATTATTTCATAAATATCTCAAAATGGATCTGTTTTTCTGTATGAGCATTCAAATTATTTGTAAAACCAAATTTATAATTATAAAACTGAAAACAGGTTAGTAAACTATATGTCCAATAGAAATAGGAAACCAAATATGCCAAAATACATTCAAAATTTGGTAAATTGGGTAATGTTACATTGTATGATTATAATTACAATTGGATTTTTTTCTCACCCCAAGGTCTTTTAAGAAAAAGGAGGTCACACTGCTGTTTGAACTCACATGTCACTTCTCAGCAAAAGCACTTCAGGACAAGTGTGTCTGGAGCCTTGTCCCTGGAGCAGCATCAGGAAGAAGGAAGCAGACTCATTTGGAGATGCTGTATGCAGGTAGAGTCTATTTTTAGTCTCTTGGGTGGTAGTGCACAAGACAATAGAACCACCTGCCAGTGCCAAGGTCAAAATGTGCCATTAAAATAGGCAGCAATTAGAGCTCAGAGTTGTTGCCCTCAGGCTCCCAGTCCAGCTCAGCTGTCTGTCTGAATCTCACCTTAAGGTATATTACGGATGGATGTAGTAATGGAACAGTCACTAATGAGATGGTTCTGATGTAAACAAATGTGGGTCAGTAGCACTAAAGTGCCATAGAATCACCATAGAAGCAGGTTATTAATGCAAACTCAGGGCTCAGTTTCAGAGAGCCACATCGATGTGGTCTGGGACCCAGCATCTTCTCAAGATTCTGGGTACTTCTGATACAGGGGGCTCTGATCACCATACTTTGAGAATAGATTGATGGAGAAAAGAGTTATCACTAGAATGAGTACAACCAGAACAAATGATACCACTTTTATTAATGAAAAAAGTATCACTGCATAGAGCAGCTAGTGATGAAGTAGAAATATTGGATAGAAAGGAGACAACAAAGACTGAAGAAAGTAATGAGGGGAGAGACATAAGGTCTTTTTTGCGTGGTTACTTTATCTGACATGGGAATGACAGAATAGTTAGATGGAAGAGCTGTTGGATATTGTGACTTCTAATCACCTCTGATCTAGAGATGTCTTCTTGTCAGGCTATTTCAGTATGCTTACAGTGTACTGAGACATGCTTTGATTGCCATGAAGCCTTCACTAAGGTTGTACTTGAGAACATAGTGAGGAATTAGAGGCCTTTAGAGGCTGACTTTATAGGACCAGGGAGCCCGAGTCACAGGAGCAGAGGAGGACAGCTCACAGCTGGGCCACTTGAGGCCTTGGCTTTCTAGTGTCAAAACAGCACCCACTGGGTTAAAGCCTGTACCGTAGGCGAGTGTCTCTTGTTTCATGTTATAAGAATGAGCCTTGACAGAGATTGGATGCCTGTCAGCTCAGTGAGAGTCTTGCTTAGGTGTCCCTGTTTTTACAAAATGTCCTATTATCAGGTGGCATCGCCTTAAATGGTTGTGCGGTCCTGCATTTCTCAGCATCCCTGCCTTCCAGAGGAAAGTAATCTTAACCTGTCAGCAGTTCAGCTTTACATCAAAAGTCTCCAAGATGGGATCTGATACTGATGTAAAATTGAAAACATGATTCAGCCAGAAATACTAAAATTTTCCCTAGATATGACTAGGGAAACAGGCCCGTCAACTGAAATAATATTGTTTTAATGAGTAACAAGTTTTTAGTTTGGTAATAGGGCTTGGTCAGATTTTCAGTGTGGATTAGTCAGCTTTCTGGTAATATAAAAATAATTATTAGAGGTAATAAATTTATAAAATTGAAGAGATTATTTTGGCTCACAGCTTTGAGTGGCTCCAGTCTATAATAGATACCCCCTGCCCCCGATTTGAACCCGTGGCCAAGTAAAACATCAAGGTAAGGAATTGGTGGTGGAGTATAACCATGCACTTCATGGCCAGAACATGAAAAAAGAGGAATAAGCAGGGGTTGAGTTCTCATGAAGCCCTCTCAGAGCACAGCCTCAAAAACCAGAAGACTACGTGGGAAGCTGCACCTCTCTATGTGCCACACGACCTCTCAACTGTGCCATGGGTGGGGACAAAGCCTTCAATGGGCCTTGGAGGGACATTCAATGGCCCATCCTCCTTTTTATCTCCCTTCTCTTTCTCCTGAGCTCTGTCTGTTGGTCTGTCTTTCTGTCTCTGTCTCCATCTCTCTGATTTGTGGTGCTGGGGACTGAACCCAGAGTGTAGCATATGCTGGACAGGTGCCTCCCACTGAGGGCATTTCCAACCCTCATGTGGCCTTTCAGGATCCAAACTGCAGCACAGGGGTGATAAAAGAAAGAGCCCTGCTTTCATTGACATTTGTGGAAGGAAATGGTAAACATTCATTTGCTTCTACATTTTAAATTTCAAGTAAGAATTTTATTTCAAGCTTATTGGAAAGATTTCCTTTCATGATAAACTGGCATAACTGTTGTGTGTTCTCTAAGATATCTAGATGTTTATTCTAACCTTTCATGTGACTCTTTGCCTTTGGAGAATGGCTTCTCTAACTCTAACTCTGATTCATTTGTTTTTCTATTTAACTGTGAATATTTTGTGTTGTTTTGAAACTTTAATCTTTTTATCTAAGCATGTAGATAAGTAGATATATGTAGTGGGGTGAATCGTTTATAAAAACTAAGGAAGATGGGATTTGTTTCCCCTATTAGTTGTTCCATTCAGTGCTTTCCCTGTGGGGTGTCCAGATTTAGTCACCTATGGTGTCATACATGGCTCTTACAGGCAATTTCTCTGTCTGTTAACTTCCTTTACATGAGCCCTATTTTCATTAGTAAATTTTTAAATGACTGCTCCACTATTTTAATCTTTGGTTCTATTAAGACAATGAGCAAGATAATAGAGGTAAAATATTTCACAAGAAAGCACTGTGCAAATTTTTCACCAGGAACATTTAAAGTGGAATAAAATAGTGATGCCTGTACACAAATGCCAGGCCTCGGGGTTGTAAGGACCATCAGTTGTTTCACGTGCGTGATGCTGTATGATCAAGACACCCTCCAGAGACCCAACTGCAAGCTGGGTGTTCTCTTAGAAAGGAGACCTTCTGAGTGGTGGCCTTATGAGTATATTTCTTAGCATAGCTTTAGTTGTGCCTTATTTCTCTGTTTGCTGTGTGTGTGTGTGTGTGTGTGTGCTGTGGATTAGACCTAGGGCCTCACACCTGCTAAATGTGAGCTGCTACAGCGCTACATCTCCAACCCCCTCCCTTACAGGTCATCTGTTAGAAATGTCCAAAGAGGCTCATATAAAGTCTGGGAGATAGGAAGAGCTATACGTTTATTTTTGTGATTATAAAACTCTTACACATTCCTGCATATCATGCTTCAAAGAGAACGTACTCACTAGCACATGGATCACAATATATGCCTCATCTATCATCATGTGTCTTGGACTGTGTTAGATGAATCGCATGATTAAATAAACAAATGAAATGCTTTTGAACCAAAGCTCCATGTTAGATTCCACTTTATTTTTAAATTTTGACTGAATAATAACTTTATTTTATATCATGTTCCTTTATGCTACTAATATTAGTTTAAACTAACTAGGGTTCACATCACTTGAGTTAATTTAATAATTTAATAAATGATAGTAAATAAAATGTTTTACAAACTAACCAAAGAGGAAAACCTTGTAAGCTTCAGATATACATACTTATTGATGACAAGCAGGTCCATAATAGAGATAAAAGAGGCAAAATACTTCAAAGATCAGACAAGGTCTACTGCATGTAGATTTCATGAAGATTAAACAACACAAAGCATGTGAACCATGCAGCACATTCTCTGAAGCATGGACATATGAGGCTGAAGCAAGTGACAACAGCAGGCTCTCTTGACTAAGCACAGAGTCAAATTTACTCTGTAATTTAAGAAACAAGTGGATTTGAAATGTTTATAAAATTGAATGTTCAAATAGAACTAAAGACTATAACTTGGGCCAAGGTAATTTGTGGATAGCAAGAATCTTGGAAGGGGACCCTGGTGTAGAAGAATGCTTACAAACACAAATTAATTAAAAAAATCAGAAATATTGGCCCTGGAGGAGACTGCTAAAAATGTCCAAGGAGAAAACATAATAAAATTGACAATGATAGACAAGTAAACAATTGGATGCAATAATGTGTAAGTGTATGAAGTTCCATGTCAGACTGTAGGAGCTGATTAATGGATGCTATGTTAGGGGAATTCCAAAGTCATGGATTCTTCATGAAATTCTTCTAAGTTTCCCAGCATGCTGACTGGTGACTGAAGAGAAAAAAGGATAGTTTGGAATAGTTTATTTTAGACCTTGAATATCTTGACACATTAAGTAGCTCAGTTGAGCCACAAATATATTTGACTTACAGAAAAATAGCTTTTGACTTGGTGTCTTCCAGGCAACTGTCTTCTGGTTTAATCTTTTCTTGACCCAAATTCATAGTCATTGAATTTTAGAGCTTTATCCAACCTGAAAGATAAGCTACTGTTTTCTCCATATTTGGTTAAGAGCAAGAATGCTGAATAAAATAGGTTGGGATTAAAATTGCCTCATTGCACAGAAGTCTCAGCCAGGTTGCTTAACTTTTTAGTCTAAAAAGGTAAATATAAAGATGTAGTTCTATTTGTAGCTTCAAAAAATTGTAGGATACTTGTTAGAATATTAGAGACAGTAATTTAGCATAAATTTGGCAATTATTCTTTCTAGGCCCAGGCTAAGTGACCTACCTGTTCAAGGTCTCACAACAAGCTGTGGAAGAATTTGAATTCATGTGGAGATCGTAAGAGAGGTGCTCTTACCACAACATCCTAGATTATGGACCTACAAAGCTTTTTTCTTATAAAAAATGAGAAGAAGCAATTGGCTCTTTTGACTGTTACTGTGCTTGGAATTTTGTGTGTTCAGTTGGTGGTTGTAATTTATAGCCCTGTGCCTGAGTTACCATCAACAGTGTGTGAGCTGGGAATTGAAGTGGACATGCACTTCTCCGCTGTATTTTGTAGCTTATAGGTGGCTGTTATGAATTAGACTGTAGCAGAAGCCGACCTCAGGCCCTGTGGTGATGCATGTGAGGGTTAGGACACAGTGGCTCAAGAGGAATCTGAGTGGGAGCTGCCTTCCTTCCCCAGGCTGCCTTTTTTGAAACTATCAGCTGTGAGAAATGTCCATGCGCGTCTAGGCTCTGACTGGTGTTTTGTTTGGCAGTTGTTTAGCTTTATTATAACTAAAACACGGAAGAAATCATTGGCTAAGATTCCCTGGAGAGATGGACTTGAGTTGGACCTTGAAATATTCATTAAAGATTAATCCAATAGAAAGGAAAAAGACAAAGAGCAGAAAAACTGTTCTTTGTAATTGTCTAGCAGGGATTAGACATTCCCCTCTCCATCATAAAACAGAA